ACCATTTCATGATGCAAAGAACCTTTTAATTATGCAAACAGTTCTCTGAGTGCTCATGGTTCTATATAAAACCATTTTCTTTGCTAAAGAACCCTTGAAGAACCATCTTTTTTGAGAGTGGACAGTGCTTCATTTAACGTTGAGCCACTCATCATCACTTATTTTGTTTCCTCAGTCAAATCACTGGAATTCCCAATTAACAAAAAGTCTTGCATAGCTTGGCTTAATTTTTTTTAAACTTTGTTCTCTTTTGCACCAAAAACCAAAAATATCATTTTTGACCATTTTCGACCAAAATGTTTCAGTGGTTGAAATTTTGGTACATCCATAAATAAAAGTCATACTGGGATTTCTATATTGATGCAAGCTTGGTCCCAAGTAAAACAAGGTCACTTCTCATTTGTCTGTGGGTGTTGGTGTTGTGCATGTACTGCATTCTGTTTGCTTGCTGTTCTTTTAGCCTATAAGGCTAGTACACTTCTCTGCCAGGACTTGTCTCTGTCAAGTGTGTTTAATTAACAAAATTTCTTCCTAATCATTGTTCCTCTCCTGTGAGAGCAGACCGTGGGTCACTGAGCAAATACTGAGAGAAATCATTGTCTATAACTTGATTATTATAAATACATTGGCACTGAAGATTGTACAGTGGTGGATTAATAATACAATTGCAATTAAGTCCACAGGATAAACAATAAGTTTGGTGTACAAATAATAATTGCAAGTTTTCATTTTCAATTATTTGATTAGATATTTTAATAATGATACAGTGCAGTGCAAGCACTGTAATTATTTCTTTGCTCATGGGTTACTAGCACATTCTTCTTTTCCAGTAAGGCTGCTATTCTGGACACAGATAAACCATAGTTTGAGATTATGAAGCATTTCCAATGGAGAATCGCTGAGGATTTTAATGCATAGCTCGACATAATCTGTGTCTAGAAAACCAGCCCTTGCCTGTGTACACTACAGTGACTGACTGTAAGCTGCTTGTTCCTAACATAGCTAATCCCACCACTCATGTTCCATTAGTCTTCCAGTGAGAATGGCGAGCGTTCATGTGTCGACTGTTCTGTTGTGACAGCTTTTTATTGAGGGGTATTTTATTCGATCTTCTCCTCCAGCCACAGCAGACCACAGCACTGGGATTAAAGAAATAAAGAGTTTAATCTGCTCGAGCTCAGACCACATCCACGTCACAAAATCAGTGTTTAGTGTTCATGACAGTGTTACAATACAGGGCAGCAAATCTCTTAGAAGTCACTGCTATTGTCAACGATAACAGCAGCATGGTGAAATTCTGTATGAATTATCTCTCACTTATGGATATCAAATGCAAGTGGAGAAATTCTGCTGACAGCATGAATCCCAAACTGTCAATCAGGCCTTGATCAACAGATTACAGGGCTCTGGGCACAGATGTTTGGTGGGCCACTATCTGAAACCTTTTTTTTTTTTACAGCAGGTTACATGAGATCTGTATCACAATGCCAGCATATTAACTGGAGTGTTAGGTAGCGTTTTTTTTTTTTCTGGAAAATGTTCATTGTTTTGACAAAGCTGTAAACCAGGTTATCTAACTGTATGAGGACTATTCAGCTGAATTAGTGCAAAGTGCAGTTCTGCCAGAAAGACTCAGGAGGCAAGAGTGAAGGAGGACAATTTTTTTATATCCTCAATGGAATTTTACAAGTTGAAAGCTAACAATTCAGTAGAGTCTTTGGCGCAGGCCTGGTCCTTGGTCCAGGTCTTGGAGCATCAAGATAGATAGATGCCAGATAGATACGGCAGGGGCAGAGCCTACCACCCTGGACAACATAGGTACCTGAAAGCAGCAGAATAGGTACGTAAGTCGAGTCATTTTAAAGACAGGTGTAGGCCTGTGATTGGTCAGGAGTAATGAACGAATCAATGATGTAGCATTAGAGTCTTCCTGGCAGAACCTTCGCTAAAACTTCCATTTCCACAGTAAAATACTATTTAAAAACACAATTATATATTCAGAGCTTAGATATTTACAGGGGTTATGTTATGATCGATTCAAACCCAAAGCATTAATTGAGATAGTAATAGTAAATATGTATAAAATCATCATTTATAGCGTACTTTCTTTTGGGAGGTGGCTGACCCAAACCCTAACCACTCATTTTCAACCTGTAAAAATAATACTTCCATTTTTTTGAAAATGTTTTTTAAAAGATTTATTTTTTAAGTGACACAGACAGAAATAAAATGAACCTAAATAAGTTAGGTAGTCATATACAATGCTTGTTACTTGGGGCTTGCTAGTAGCTAACATTACCTGTACTAGCTACTTGCTTTCGATCTCAACAACAACACAGAGTAAAGTTGTTAGCTCACTATAAACTTTCAATTTAAAATAATAAAAAAAAGTGGATAAAATCACACAGCATGGCTACTTACAGGTCACTGACTCTTACAGGTTACAGGTTACCGACTCTACTTTACTCACTCTTCGGTGTCAAACGCAGAGCAAAGCCTGATTGTGCCAATATTGTCCAAGGTTTGAAAAACTGTCCGGAGATAAATGTGCAGAGCAAACTGACAGCTTTGAATTAAAGTTGTCCAGGAACTTGTTAAAGATGTGGGAGCTGAAGTTGGCTTCCTATTCACCAGCTTATTTTGTGAATTTCTGTTCCACCTTAAATGGTGCCACAGTTACACACAGTCTGTAGCATTTTAGATGGAACAGAACATTCGATTAAGGAGCTGGAAGCCAACTTCAGTCTCATTTAAAGATAAACATCTCCTTCACGATCTGGAACGGTATTGTTACATTTCTGCGCATAGTCATTTTCTTTCCTGTTGCTGCATTGTCGTTGTATGTAATTTTTTTTTTTGGAGGGGGGCGGGGACATATTAACGAGTCAACACTGCTACATAATAGTTTAAGATTTTGGCACATTTTATTGCCCTCTTTTGCAAATCCAGGATTTTCATGTAAAGGAGGCAACAACAGTGTTTGAGGTTCATGGTATATCAGTTCTATGTACTGAATCCTCCTTATTCAACTGTGCCAATGTAAATACAGTTTTGCGTTCTATGACACCTTTAAGTCTAAACATGGCTCTAATCATAATCCTAATGCTTATCTCAACCCAAAACCTAAACCCAACCCTCACCCTGGTCCTAACCCTAACACTGTTTAGAGTCAGCAGTTTTAACAGATACCTTGTTAACAATTTGAACATCTGTATATTATCTATAGTGTACTATCCAAATAAAGTGAGACCAAGAGTTTTAGTCCATAGTCAGAGCCTTATTTTAGCCACTCCCCTGCATTTTAGAGCAGGAAGGGAGACTGCATCCCTGTCCGTCATGGCCACATGGTGAGCAGTTAGATTCCACTGTTTTGAAGTATTTAAGTATTTTAGGCATTCACGTATTCATTGTCTATTTAAAATACCATTTCAACTATGTTAAACTTTACTAGCCCATAAATACAGACATTAAAATCCATGTGAATCAGAAATCAAAACACATTTTTCTTCCTTAATGTGACGTTTGTCCAAGTGAAACAGGCTACTCTGGTGGAAAATAATTGAGGGTGGGACATGAGTAGAAGAGGAGGTAATATATTATAATTTAAATTTAATTAGAGACGCCACCGATCTGATACCACGTATGGGTATCAGGCCGAGATTAGCAGATGTGGTGGATCAGATATCGAAGTGAATTAATCCTGTTGCAAAGCTAGCCTGAAATAGCACATACTCACATTATATGATGTCATGTTTTCAGATGCTCAAAATGAAGTGCTTCAATTAATAATAGCTCATTTAAAAGCTCAGTAGTTTTAAAGAAAAAAAATCAGATCAGTATCAGTATCGGCTGATCAGTATCACTATTGGTATCTGAACATAAAAAGTGCCAGTGCAGTCACTAAATTGTGTGAAATGTTATTGTTGGTCATAGAGCCTTGTTTTGCAAGAAGTAAAAAATCATCCTATAGACTTTTTTGGTGTGTTTTTGTCACCATCATCATCAAAATAATCAGTAAATGGCAGAAGTGTGACCTCAAAACTGTTGATACAGAAAGTAAATTCATTATAAGGTTACACTGCATAATTCTTGCATTAAAATAATTGCATAATATTATACGAATGTATTGTAAAACAGCAGTAATAACTCTAAATGATGTTGAAGGGTTAAGCCTGATTGTCTCCATCTGAGCTCTGTGGAGGTGAGCAATAGCTTTAGCACAAAAAGATAATTAACGTTGTTATGCTTGACAGACGTTAGCTGACTAACAGCAGTCTGAAGCAGCAAATGCCTTTTGTCTTTGTTATCTCATTCTCTCTCTCTCTCTCTCTCTCTCTCTATTTGTATTTACCCATCTCTCTCTCCCTCTCACTTTGTCTCTCTCTCTCTCTCTCTCTCTAACCCTATCCTCCGCTGGATCTTTTACCTGTTCTCTCCTCACCCTTACGGAACCAGCCCCCTCCCCTCTCTCTCTCGCTCTCTTCCTCTCTTACTCTGTCTCTCTCTCTCGTGTGTGCGTGCTCTCTTCCTCCCACCCCCTAAACCCTGCCTCTGTTTCACTCTCTTTTTCTTCTTCCACTCTCTTGCGCCACGGCTGCATGCTCACTGTTCTGAAACGTGATGAGGCGTCCAGCCCTGTGGGAATCCCTCCCAGCCGGGAGCGCCCAGCGCATCTGTGTCCACCAGAGAGGACAGCGGCTACGGCAGCCGTAACTGCATCAGCGGGGAAGAAAAGTGCTCTTCACTCTTCCCCTCACTCCATCAGCTGCAGCCCGGCATCCCCTGCCCAGGCAGGCAAGGGACCACCCTGTAACACTGGGGCATCCGCACAGGGAAAGTTACCTAAACCACTTTTGTCTCATGACCTGATCTCTGAGAAGATCCATCCATGAGGAACCTCCAGTTACCTGCTGAAGCTGTGTCCTCTAGTAGTGACGCTGATGCTTTGGATTGATGGTAGATGTCTGTGTCAAACCTGAACAAAAGTTGCACTCAGAGGGATCAGCCAGAGGTTTCTGCTTAAGACTCATCTCCTCATTTTTAGGACGGATTCGGCTTTTTTTGAGGTTTTTTTTCCTGTTCAGAGTGCTCAGATCTGGAGGATTTCTAATCCCACACTCCATCAAAATGTCTGTCCTTTTTTCCATTGCACTTTCTGTCCAGTTCAGAGGCGTGAAGACGGAGGTGAAGATCGCAGATTCTCACGCACTCTGCCAAAAGGAGGATGGGTCTCTAGCAGTGGTCTCCAGTTCTGAGTTTGATGTGTAAGTAAGCAGCAAAGAGAAGTTTGTTTTGGTGGAAGTGTTTGCTGATTTTATTTCTCCAGCAGTGGGGAAGATGAGTGTAGGGTGAGTGGTGTGAAAAGGTCATCGTGTGTCTGGAGTGTTCTGTCAAGTGGCGGTTCATTCTTGGGATAGTACAAGCAGCCAGTGTATACAAGTATGACAGAAATAGGCAGAGTATGCTATATTCATGCAAGCGTCTGTTTCTAAGAGGTCTGAACATATATTTTTAATGCCTCCTGCCACCTTAGAGTAAGGAAGCGGTTTTAAATGTGCAGAGAGGGAGAGCAAGAGAGAGAGAGAGAGAGAGAAAGAGAGAGAGAGCAATATTCTGTCAATTCAGACAACTTCTTGCAAGTTCTGCAAAGAACATTCAGGTCATAAGGTTAAAAAGTTTACGATTAGGTTGCTTCTGATCTCAAGGCCAGTGTACTGTAAGAAAAAAACAAACCTGAACAGCTCAAACGCACCTCTCTCCCTAAGCTTGAAGGTGGTGAAGCATGGTGTGAATCAATCACTAATAAGGCTGCCATGATAACTCAATTAAATTTGATTGCTCAGTTAAAAACAATTTGCCTCCTTGATTGAACCTCTGTGATTATTTGGCAGTTGCATGATAATGCTTTATTTCAGTAAGAGTCAGAGCCCGATGGGCACGCCCATTTATACGCATTTTTGCCACATAGTGTTATACAATCCTGCGCAAAACTCAGCGACTACCTTTGTTTATTTAATTTCCAGTCAAAACAAGCTATTCATTTTTTCAGTGTCAGGAATTGTAGCCTCAACAACTATGTATATATATATATATACACATGTATATATACGTATTTAATTTGTCCACCAACACATTCAGTGATGTTGAGGCTGGACTCCAGGGTGGTCAGTCCATTGTCCTGAGAGCACTGGCAGCTTCTTTATTTGATGTGTAAACAGTTTCTTGACAGCTACACATCCTTTCAGACTCGTAACGTTGAGTTGTCTACTCATAGTGTAAGGACAGAAATACCCGAGTTTTTTTTTAATCTGAGCTTGAGCTTGATTTTTTCTGAACAATGAAAGCTTTTAGTGTTGTTTTGCGATCTACCAGATCTTGCATGGTTGTTAGGAGTCCCACTTTCTTGATATAAACTCCTGTTTCCGAAACTCCTGTTTTTTTCATTTTTTTCCTTTGACTTTTCCCTTCCTAATGCAGTGTTATCTTATATCTAATCTCCTCAGAAATATAGTATACCCTGAAAAATGAGCTTAATGGCTGTTTTGGCTGGAAATGAAATAAATGGTATTTTTAATAAATGATTTTGTACAGTGTTGTAAATATTTTTAAAGGCTTATTATTTTATAATTTTCCATGTGCTTTGGAACCTTTGAAAGCTTGTTCATGGTTTCTTATTGTTTAATTTAGTCAATTTTTACTGTTTGACCTTTGTAAAACTCTGTTAATCAACAAATAATTGGAAGATTACTAAATCACTAATAAAATCAACAGTGACAGTACTAATAGCTAAGGATGCATGAGGGATCCTGAACACCACACCACCTCATCGCTCTGGTTTAAGATGTATTCAGCTTTTCTGGCTCTGATGTCAGCCAGTGGCAACAGCTACATTTTGACTGCGTAACACAGATTTGCTTCTTCTTTAACTGCATCAGTTATTTTGTTTTAGAAGTGCTGTCAGCTTGACCATTTGCTGGTATGACCGCTTCATAGTGATTTGCAATTTGATCATATTTATTGTTACTGTGACAAACTGCATCATATTCTTACACAATACTTTTTTCTGAGCATATCTTAAAGAACAATAAACCCGCATGTTTCATTGTTTAGAGAGCAGCAATTATGCATGTTTAATTAGATTTAGTGCAAATAAAGGAGGATGCGTCAACTTTTTTTTTTTTACTTGAAAATCAAATCAACAAAACATGTAATTTGACCAGGGGTGTTCAAATTATGCCACACATTTTCATTCAGTTAAATGGAGTAGAGTCAGTATACACAGACTTTGTTACTTCAACATAAAGTTCAATTAGTAATGGAACAACCATTTCAATGTGATGTATTGAGGTTATACTGGAATAAAAAAAACATTTTTTTATTCACTGAAATGTACTTCAGTCATGTTTGTCCCTTTTACATGAACTAGTTGCTTAAAGGCAACACAATTAGTTTAAATATGTTGACATATTTTCAGTTTGTCAGACAAACAACCCCCCTGGTTTATTTTTTGAATGTAGATGAATATGGGCTCATTCTTTGGGAAGCGACTGATCACTGGTGCCTGTTTTATTTATGTGTTATAACTGCATATTAATGACTTCTAAGGTGTTTATAACCTATTAGTAATCATTAAACTAACCTTAAACCGGTTTAAACCATCCATAAACTTGACGTAGTGCCACAAAAATCATTGTATTCCTAGTTTTTTATATTTTTTATGTGTCACTGGTGTTGCTTTTTTGTCTGTTCCATCTTGCAGTGCCGTTGTAAAAAACATGACTGCAATAGCAAATCCATCAAAATAAAGTGGCAAATCCTACAAACGTAAAAGCAGACATCTAGTCCACTTGCAGATACCTCAGCCTTTTTCCAGTAATTGTACTCTTGATTTGACAAATTTTAATGCACATGGACATACAAATTCAATCATTGCTACAATACACTAGCCTCATAAAACTACCTCCCTCTGTCTTTTTATATAAGTTTACTTAAGACTGAGTTCTAATCTGGCTTTAAGCAGCTAATCCTGCTGGGTAATAATTTGGGATGGGTTCTGTGAACTGACGTAGAAAACCTTTTCTGTGCTTATTCCACAGTGACCATGTTTGGAATTGTCCATGAAGCCTAAATGAAAGGCTTACTGCTTTCTCTCCTCTCCCCGCAGTCTGCGCACCTCCTTGAACGGATTACACTTCCATACAACATCTGTTTTGATGAGTACAGAAAAATGTTAATTAACGAATTCTCACTGCTGTTCGGCTCTCAGCAGCACTGTGAGAGCGTGAAGGCGCCATCGCTGCCTCACACTTAGGGGTAGATCTGATAGCATTCATCAAAAATCAGACAAGAGAAAGCAGCAGCTGCATCTGAGGAGAAATGCCAGATGAAAGGGTTTCTGCACTCCTACTGTGTGTGGAACTGTACAGGACATGGCTAATGTGCCTGCTTAATGAAAACAGTGCATTCAAACTGCTTAGCTGATTCCATTAATGGCCTTTCATGGTTTTACACTAAGCTGTCAGTTTATTAGGTACAGCTACATTGTGGTTATACTCAGTGGTCACTTTATCAGGTACACTGTCTACACAGGTGAACTTTGTGGGCATGGATGCAGGAATGAGGGTTGTGAGGGGGGAACAGCACCCCCAGATTTCAGGATTGTGCAACTGCTGAAAACTATTTTAACTTTAAAATAAATTGAGCGTATTAGACCTTCTTTTATAGTGGAGTTTGTATTTTCATGTGGTTTTATTTACCTGTTTTCAGAATCTTCAGCAGCCACACGCTGGATAATTTAACTTTGCATTTTATGAGCTGATTCACTTCCCCTGCCAACTATTGGTCGCTGCAGGGTTGTATCATTAAATTAGCACTCTATATTGTATAATAAGCTTCAAAAATCATGTAATCTAATATTATTTCACATTTTGAACATTAGTGAGTTTTTAACCGTTACATCCCCCTGAGTGTGTGCTGGGGTGTTGAATCTCATCGTGTGACTATGGCCATGACAAAAGTGGCATGTAATCTGATTGGTTGCCTCTCAGCTCATTTGCATAAAGTTTGTCCAGAAGGAGAGAGAGCAGTGTGAGCAGGGTGTGCCTCAGTGATTTGATGTGTCAGTGTATATTGGTGTGTCTTGTCACATTATGGCACATTATATGATGTGTTATTTGATGTAAATTATCCAAAAACGCAAATGAACATAAAATTTGGCATACTGTTTTTGCATAATGTCACAGCTTATGACACATGTATGGCACTTAACATTTTAGCTTAAAGCACCTTCCCCTGTCCCCTGAAATTTACAGGTACTGACTGTAGCCCATCTATTGCTGCTAACTTTTTCAGCAGTTGTCCATCAACTCTCTACCCTCTACCTTGTCTCTACCTTGTGAATCAATAGAAAGGAACCAAAACTGACCAGATATTATCTGGGTGGACCATTCTCAGCACCAGTGGGGAACTCACAGGTCATTCTAGGTCTTCAGACAACACATAATGATTTCAGGCAACTTAAAAAATACATAACTGAAATATACTGTATAGTTCATTTGTATTTAGTAGAATCATGATGTTTGTTGTGTTTAAACTCAATATATTAGTAATGCTGGAAACAAAAAGGTTAAGACCTTGAAATGGAAAATTGTCCAATCAGATTTCTTTCCTAAGGTATCAATGTAGTTACAGCCAATTAAGCTCTCCCATAGGTTAGACCTTCAGGAGCTGGACAGAAAGCCTAAAGGCTGAATAATACTTCTGTGTTCGTGTATCTGTGATCATGTGCCAGACTCATGTGTAGATGTTTGCATAGTTGTCTGCCAGCATTCTTGTGCATAACATGCACTAGGCAATGTCCAAACCACAATGTAGAGGAAAGTCTTGCATTTTTCCTTCATCCCTCCAAGAATTAAGCCAATCAGCATTTGCTTGATGCACAACCTTAGGTGTAATTAGGAGTGGGCCCTGAATATTTTTTATATATATATATATATATATTTTTAAATATAAATTATTTAAACAATGCTCTGTTCTTTTAACACTACTGTCACTTTAAAAGTTTACACCACAGCAGCTGTGATAATCATCAGGGGTCACACCGGAGACCCCTCCACACTAAGCACGAAGGCAGCGAGTAATTCAGTAAAGAAAATTGAAAATATGTGACGATTTGAAAATATTCAGCAACGTTAGTCAGCTGGTCATGTCTGAATTCGCAAGTGAAAATGTTAAGTATATCTTAGAGTAAGCTTATTTTACCCTT